TTACCAACATTGCCGTCAACAATACAAACATTATCAATGACATTACTATCAGTGTTATTCCCAATGTTACTAACATTAGTAATATCACCCTCAGTGTCACCACAACGATCCTCAACAGTCACGTTCATAATATCAATGACACGAGTTCAATACCTCCCCATGGAAGGGGATTTCTTCTTGTTCTCCAGCTAATGGAGACTCCTGCAGCCCCACACCATTCCCAGCCCCCTCCCTCTGTCCATCCACCGGTGGCCCAGACATTACCCCAATATCTGTCCACAGTACCTTGGCTGGTCCAGAGAGTTCCAGGGGCCCTTCTGGGTCTTCTCGGCAGGAGCATAATACGAAACAAGAGCGCCTAGGTCAGCACCCAACAAAACAGGGGTGGGCAGTTCATCTGAGACCCCCACCTCTCTCATCCCCCTCCCCGCACCCCAATCTAGGAATACCTTTGCACAGGGTATACATGAACGGGTCCCCCCAACTCCTGTGAGGGTCAGGAACTTTCCTGGGATGAGGTTCTGTGGCTCAATCAGCTCTGGCCGGATCAAGGTGACTTCTGCCCCAGTGTCCCGGAAACCAGTTGCAGACCGGTTGCCCACGGTAACGGGCTGCAAGTTGGCGGGGGTTACCCGCATCTTCCTGTGAACGAACAGCACAGAAGAAGAGTTGCTGGCCGGCTGGCCAGATGATGTCATCTGCTTCTGCTCAGGACATTGGGTCCTGAGATGTCCGGCTTTCCCACAGGCGAAGCATCTGCGGGTGTCAGGCAGGAATGGCTTGGCTCCAAGCGCTGCAGGGTTGGGCGGAGGGGAAGCTTGACTCACCGAAGTAGGAGGGGTTGCTAGGGACGATTTCCCCCCTTTCCAGCTGTTTGGAGGAGCCTTGCGAGGTTCAGGCACTCGCGTGTGGACGAAGGTATCTGCCAGGTCTGCTGCAGCTGTAGTAGATGCTGGCTCCCTCTCCAAGACAAACTGTCTGACATCTGCTGGGCAAATGTGCAAGAGTTGATCTCGGATCATGAGATCCTCCAAAGATTCATAAGAATCAACTTTCAGTCCCTTAGTCCACTGTCAGAATGTGGTGCGTAAGCGACTTGCCACATCCGTGTAAGAGTCCCCAGGTCCCTTCTGCATGGACCTGAACCACTTGCGGTACACTTCCGGGGTCATCTGGTACTTCCGGATAATGGCATCTTTTAAAAGTCCATAGTCATCATCTTGCCCCTCTGGCAATTCAACAAATGCGTCCAGGGCCTTGCCTCGTAGCCCTGGTGTCAGGTACCGAACCCATTGAGCTTGGGGCACGTGGTACTGATGGCACGTTTTTTCAAAGGACAGTAAGTATGTGTCAATGTCACTGTCCTTTTCCATCCCTGGAAACTTGGCTGCGCCCACGGAAAGAGTGCCGTCCCTGTGATCTAGGGCCCCGAGGTTCTGACCCGGTCGCTGCTGGAGCCTTGCCATCTCCAGCTTGTGTCGACGATCAGCTTCCCTCTGAGCTTGGCGTTCCTCTCTCTCAGCCGCTGCTCGGCATTCTGCAGTTTCTCTGTCAGCCGCTGCTTGGCGCTCTGCAGTTTCTCTGTCAGCCTGGCGTTCCATGAACCGCAGGTATGCCTCCAGATCTCTCTCCATGAGGCGTTTCAAGGCCTCCTGCATCTGGGAAGAGTCTCTGCTGGTTCCAGGCACCACGGTGTTAGCGCGCTCAGGCGGTGGTGTGACGTTAACCTTTGGTGATCCTCCAGTGTCAGTCTCTGTACGCCCATCCTGTGAGGCCGTCTCTGAGCCACTGGCAATGTGGGTAACGGGAACCCCTCCATGTTCAAGTTCCCCCGAGTTCTGATTTGCTCGGATATCATACTCCACTAGATCACTAATCAAATCTTCACGAGTTTTGCGACCGACGTCCAATCCTCGTGAGGCACATTCAACTTTCAAATCACCTTTGCTCATTTTCTCGTAATCTGCTTAACCGGGCATAATTGCAAGCAAAGATAGAAGAGAAAAGTAGGAAAAGAAAATAGCTGTTGCTATGTGTCTCTCTATACACACATATATATATAAAATAAAATATGCACCACTTGTTTCTAAGGACTGTTTCCACAAAGGTTACAATCCTTCAGTGCAGAGCCAACTTTTAACACTGCACTGAAGCTCTTACTGCAATTATCCCACGTACGCTGCCAACAATATGTCACGACCCGCGGTCGCCGCCACCAACAGGTGACAATCGCACAGCCGCGACAAACAGTAATACGTCACGCCCACGGCGTCAGACCCCAGACCTTCTCACCAAACTCGTGACCGAAGGGCCGGCCGATCCAAAACCTCGGTGTGACGCGCGTAACAAGGCCCCACCCAGCTGCACCCTACACAGCGATTGCCCAGCTAATGGACTACAATCGGTGCCTGCAGCCTGAATGCGCTTGTTACTGGGTCGGGTTAATTACGCAACTAACCCACTACTGCCACCACCACTTTTGTCGGAGACTGGGAAACTCCCGTTATCAAATATACACTATAATGATTGAAATATTGATCTGTATAGCACGGCCCGCGGACCTGCTATACAGAGATATAACAAACAGTAGCGTCTCTTCAAAAGGCAGGAATTCGTGAATTGCAAGTAAGCGCTTAGAAACAGTTTAACACTTTCAGAAAGAAAGATTTACTACTAAAAGCGTCAGACAGATGCAAATAAATATTTACAAAGATGTCACAAAAATATATATATATGTATATAAAGACATAGCAAAGAGATAATTAGGAAGAAGATTACAGGGTTAAGTTACTTGCCCATATGCCTGGGTTTGCAGTCCAAGTTGTGAGCAGGGTGATTTCTTTGATCTCCTCTTGTTACGATGTTGCTGGGAGATCTCTCTGTGTGAGTCTTGTGTGTGTCACAGACTAACTCACTTGACTCTCTTAAAGGTCCCTCTCAAAAGGGAGGGGGGGGGGCTCTGACTACACGTTTTGGGAGTGGTCATAGGGAAACTCTAAACTAAATTACCAGCTTCATATCCCGTGATATGAACCATACAGTTGACCTGAGGAATGTGCAATTACTCTGGTCAGTTTGATAATGAGTGGGCTTACATAGTTTTGGGTGACAAAAGTTACACTTCAGCAGACAGTCTGTCTCCACTTCTCATGTCTTAGGTTGTTCCACGCAATCTGCCAGGAGATAACGTTTGCCTCTCAGGAAGGGAGGAGGGTAGGAATGAGGCTGAGGAATGCCTCGAATAAACAGACAGAACACGAAAAAGAGAGTGTAAAGGGGGACTCCGCTCCAACAAGGATGAGCAAGTTTGCCACACCTCCCTCCTAGATTGTAAGCTCCCAGGATCAGGGAACCCAAATCCCTCTTGTATTGAACTGTATTGTTGCTGTATTGTCTCCTGTTATATTGTAAGCAAACTGTTGGTGCTATATAAATCCTGTATAATAATAATAAAGTGCCTGGTGATGGAACCCGGAGAGTGTTCCAGCCGTCAGCTCACTCCTGCTCCGCACAGAGTCTGGAACCTGAGGGATGAGGACACAATGAGACAGGAGCCAAAATCCCGAAACTGTCCTGCAGCAATTGGGAAACTCGGCAACTTCTTATGAGAACTTTCCCAAAGCTGCAGGTCCTTTGAGTTCCACAAGGTGGTGATCTCACTACTACCCCGACAGGAAGTCGCTATGGAATACAGACAGGAAGTGGTATCAGGTACAGACAGGAAGTGATGTCAGGTACAGACAGGAAGTTCTGGGTGAGAGGTGAGTGGGGAGGAAGTAGAGAGGAGACGTTGGTGGAAGTGGCAGCAGAAGAGGTAATAAGATGTTATTTCCTATTTACACCCAGTAACCCCCCTGTCACGTCCGTCCTCTTCCTCCATAGTCACGTCCGTCCTATTCCTCCATAGTCACGTCTGTCCTCTTCCTCCATAGTCACGTCTGTCCTCTTCCTCCATAGTCACGTCTGACCTCTTCCTCCATAGTCACGTCTGACCTCTTCCTCCATGGTCACGTCCGTCCTCTTCCTCCATGGTCACGTCCGTCCTCTTCCTCCATGGTCACGTCCGTCCTCCTCCTCCATAGTCATGTCCGTCCTCTCCTCCATAGTCATGTCCGTCCTCTTCCTCCATGGTCACGTCCGTCCTCTTCCTCCATGGTCATGTCCGTCCTCTTCCTCCATAGTCCATGTCCGTCCTCCTTCCTCCATAGTCACTGTGACGTCTTTTATCTCCAGCAGATGATGATACACACATATATAGTGTGGGAACCCAGATTAACCCCTTCAGGGGCACAACATTCCCCCACTTCCGGGGCCAGAACATTCTCCTCATTGTGGAGATGGGTCACCTTCTCCATGGAGATGAGATGGACATACCTGGGCTGGGGGGGAGACGGCTCCACAGAACACAACCAAAGTTCAGGTGCCGAATTTGAATTTGGACACCACTAAAGTTGATGGGAGCTGAATGATAAATTACATGGGGGGGAACTTGCTGCTGCCCTGGGGAAAATGTACTAAAGGAAATAGATTTTTTTCAAATTTGTTGAGCAATAATTATAATAATTTTTAAACAGCAACATTAAAATTGCTAAATTCCTATAAATAACATGTCTGGGGGATGTTCTGACCCGGCCTGTGAAGTGGTGTACATGTACAATGTATACAACCCACTACAGGAACATTGACATTTACAAAGAAAAACAATGCCCTAAATGCCAATAAATGACAGTTCCTGGCCTCTTTTTTCTGTCTGTAGACCAGTGGTACACCAGCTGTCGCAAGGGACATTCTCAACAAACCATGGGTGGAAGGTGAGAGAGAATATGATCTGTGAACTCTGGGAATAAACACCTCTTTCTGTGTCACTACTGTAATGCCTATTTTGCCCGATATATACCTGATGATTGGATCCACTGATGAATGGTTTTCCTGATCCTGGATTTAAAGGGATATGCACTTAAGACCTTTGTAGTGAAGGTCAAACCCCAAAGTCGAAAGAGTGATGGACAATCAGCCGCCCCTCACATCACCGGGTAAGAGGAGACTTTATTGTAAAGGAGAGAGCAGTACGGAGGATCCACCTAGATCCCCCATCATCTGATAAACACATAGAAACAATGGATTCAGTCAGTGTGTGTGTTTCCTACAGATGGATCCAGTCATGGGAACCCACCAGAGAGATGTCCTCGTCCTCTGTATTCCTGGGATTCCACACAGGAAGGTCACACCATCCCTCACCATCATCAGGTAGATAGATCCAGTTATGGGAACCCACCAGAGAGATGTCCCTGTCCTCTGTATTCCCGGGATTCCACACAGGAAGGTCACACCAGCCCTCCCCATCATCAGGTAGATGAGATCCAGTCATGGGAAACCCACTGAGAGATGTCCCCGTCCTTGTATTCCTGGGATTCCACACAGGAAGGTCACACCATCCCTCACCATCATCAGGTAGATGGATCCAGTAATAAAAGGGAACCCACCAGAGAGATGTCCCTGTCCTCTGTATTCCCGGGATTCCACACAGGAAGGTCACACCATCCCTCACCATCATCAGGTAGATGAGGAACAATCACTGATAGTATAATTAGGATCTGTACATTATCTGCATTGTTGGCATTTTTATTCTATATTCAGAGTGGAAACCTGAGAGATCCTAAAGTTAAAGAGATAACCAGAGAGGATGGGGTGATGGAGGAGTCAGATATCCCTAAAGGACTCAAAGATCTTTACCAGGACACCACGGTGGAGTCATCCAGCTACAGGAACCCACCAGAGAGATGTCCCCCTCCTCTGTATTCCCTGGATTCCACACAGGAAGGTCCCATTACCATCCCTCACCATCATCAGGTAGATGAGGAACAATCACTGATAGTATCATTAGGATCTGTACATTATCTGCATTGTTACCATTGATGTAATCATTTTATTATATTTCAGATGTTAAACCTGAGAGATTCTAAAGTTGATGTTAAGTTAAGGTGGTGAAGAGATAAAAGAGGAGGAGTCAAAGAGGATCTGATGAGGATGGGGTGATGGAGGAGTCAGAGTTTTTAAATGTATATAAAGATCTGTCCAGAGTAGGGCGGGGACCATGGTGGAGCCGTCCAGCTACAGGAACCCACCAGAGCTGATGTCCCCGTCCTCTGTATTCCCGGGATTCCACACAGGAAATCACACCATCCCTCACCAATTCATGTAGGTAGATGGATCCAGAGATGGGAACCCACCAGAAGATGTTCCCCGTCCTCTGAGTATTCCTTGGGCTATTCCACACAGGAAGGTCACTACCATCCCTCACCATCATCAGGTCGGTGGAGTTGAGGGTCTGAACATAAAGTGATGGAACACTCTGACATGTGGAGACGATGTGTGGACTCTAGTTCCAGATGAGATTTTCTAGTGATCTCACATCATAAATACAATTCTATTTGTACAGATGTTATTTCTTTAGCCATTCTGTTGTTTAGGGTGAAGATCTGATAAGATGAAAAGTTGTTTAGGGTGAAGTATAAGGACGTATGTGAGGGATGATCAGCAATATTACGGAGGAGGCGGAAATGATGCAGGACATTCAAAAAGGAGGACACTCCTACAGAGATCAGCACAGGTGAGCCACAATATATTCTTCTGTTATCTCTGCTCTGTTAATGCTCAGTGTTTGGTCCAGTAGTAGGGCGGGAGATTTTGATATCAGCCTGGTAAAAAATCTGGTCGATTTTGAGCGGTGTTCCCTGTCCTGTATTCCGATAAAAAATTTCTCTCGGAGTAATCTTCCTTCAGACAAAATTTATGTAAAAAGAAGACTGGATTTATGGAGATTGAAGAAGGTTCAGTTACCATGAAAATGTTAATTTTCATCCTGAGCATTGCTTGGGCTAGAGGATGGGGCATGTGAAGAAGAAGGTCTCCTATTGATGTCCTATCAAGATCCCTAAAATTCTCCCTGGGATTCTTGCTTTGTTGTTTGCCGGTAGTGCCAGGTACAAGAAATTCCATGAGACTCCACTTGCATAGATCCAGATCTGAGTCAGAGTGCAGTTTTAAGGCCGTCCATACACTATACAATTTTCTGTCCAATTTCTTCCCAATTTCCTGTAGATTTACCTTCAACTATGTAGTGCAAGGGCCCGATTTAATTTGATGCAATTGAAAGTTTGTTTAGGTTTGAACCTCATATTATATGGTTTTTGGTAAATCTAAAGCAAAAATCTCAAGAAAATGATATCATGTATGGCCAGCCTTAGGGCCCTTTCACACGAGCATTCCAATCAGGTCCACCTGTCTGTCTGAAAGCTCCATGCAGCTCTATGGGCAGGAGGATGTAAGCAGTTACTGCACACTGACCATCAAACACCAACACGAGGACTGCATCCAGACCTTTGGACTCTGCTGTATAATTACATGATCCTGTCCTTTGCTCTGACCCCCCCCCCCCCCAATATGGAAGAAATAATGAAATATTTTCAAAAAAATACTACAATTTTGGCCATATATTTGAAATACTAATTTTGGCCATTATATATATATGTTGCATGTTGAAATGTGTTTTTATTACAAAATATATGAAAAATATTTTTAAAAATACATTTCAAATCTAAATCTTTAAAAATACAAATCTACTTTTTTGGAATGCATTTACAAATTTATGCAAATTTATGTTAAAATGACTTTTTTATATGTTTAAAAATCTGAAGAATATATTTTAAAAAATTTAAATTTTTTAAAATATTTTTTTTTTTAAATATATTCCTCAGATTTTTTTTTTTTAACATATAAAAAATGCATTTCAACATGCAGGTCCATGAATAAAGAAATGACCTGGTAGGAGATCAGAGGAGCCATTTCCTAGTTCCCTTGAGGGTGGAACTGTAAGCTCCTCAAGACCAAGACTAAGCTGCTTGATGTGGGCGGAGTCCTGTTTGGGGGAACCAATCAGCTCCTGTCTAGTAATCCTCTTTGTCTTTGTATTTTAGTCCATGGCCGGGAAATGAGGAAAACCTCCGAGGATTGTCTCACTTTGTCTCCAGACTGGAAAGTAGAAGATGAGGACATCACACAGTATAGTCCAGGAGAAAACCCGGCTCCCTCCATGGTCCATCCGGCACCACCACAGTGTTGGACCATCGGATTCCCCGTATCCTGAGGAACCTCAGACTGTACGGGACCGGGCCGGCCTTCCAACAGGAGAAGAGCTTCTCCTGTCCTGAGTGTGGGAAAGGATTCCAATTTAAATCTTGGCTTAATGAGCATAAAATATCTCACACAGGTGAGAAGCAACATTCCTGCCCTGAGTGCGGGAAATGTTTTTCAAAGAAATCCAATCTTCAAATACATCAGAGATCTCACACGGGGGAAAAGCCGTATTCCTGCCTTGAGTGCGGGAAATGTTTTTCAAATGTATCCAATCTTTACAAACATCAGAGATCTCACACGGGGGAGAAGCCATTTTCCTGTCCTGAGTGCGGGAAATGTTTTGCACAAAAAGTAACACTTGCCATGCATCAGAAGTATCACACGGGGGAGAAGCCATATTCCTGTCCTGAGTGTGGTAAATGTTTTTCAGAGAAGTCTAATCTTTCCAAACATCAGAGATTGCACACAGGTGTGAAGCCATATTCCTGTCCTGAGTGCGGGAAATTTTTCTCAGAGAGATCCAGTTTTAACAGACATCAGAGATTGCACACGGGTGAGAAGCCATATTCCTGTCCTGAGTGCGGGAAATGTTTTCTTCATAAATTTGCACTGGGTGCACATCAGAGGTCTCACACGGGGGAGAAGCCGTATTCCTGTCCTGAGTGCGGGAAATGTTTTTCAAAGAAGGCCCATCTTTACAGACATCAGAGACTGCACACGGGGGAGAAGTCACATTCTTGTTCTGAGTGAGAGAACCTTGAAGTGTAGCGGTGTCTTCAATGCAGGAAATGTTTTCTATAAGAGTCATGTTTAGAGATCACACACTGTGATAAACGGCTCAGACGGCATGTGATTGATCGTTGTCATGGTGGAAACTGTTCATAAGGAGATCAGAGGTCAGCAAAGACATGGATGAAGTGTGGGACCGGGTTGGCCATTGATAGCAGGAAAAGAATAAAAATGGAGTCATCACCTTACGTTGACTTAAAAAATTAAAGTCTACTAAATCTAAAGTCTGATGAAATTATTTGATGTAAATTTTCTCAAACATTTAGGGCCCGTGCACACTGCATTTCACTTGCTTTTTTTTTTTTTTTTATCCAAAACGCACAGAAAGTAGGTGAGATGGTTGACGATTTCATAGTTAGTCTGGGTAAAAAAAGAGAAAAGTCCATCCAGTTCAACCATTGAAAAAAAAAAGTTATAATCCTACACCCACAGTTGATACGTAGTTCATATTTGGTCTTGCAGTTCCAGTGCGTTCCGGGTGCAGAAAAAAAAGTAGAATAGGCTGCGGTTTTTTTTTCTTCACAGAACTGTACTGGAATGCAGTAAAATGCATAAAAAATGCACATGCCTCTATTTAACGTGAAGAAAAAGAGAGGGGAAAAATGAACTGTAATGTGTCAAAAAAAGGCACCGAAACGCGTCAAACGCACCAGAACGCGTAAAAAACACGCATGCAGAAATGCATCCTAGAAATCATCTAGACTGCGTTTCTATAGTGTGAACTGGCCCTTAGAGGTCTACTTATAAAAAGTTAAAGCGGAGTTCCATTCAAAAGCAGAAGCTTTGCTTTTTTGCCTCCTTGCCCCCTCCACTGCCATATTTGGCACCTTTTGGGGGGGAGCAGGTACCTAGTTTTGACAGGTACCCGCTCTCATTTCTGGCAAAGTGAGCCGCAAGTACAGCCTGGTGCCCACAGTAGAGATGCCGTCGCCAGGAGAGAAGACTGTGAGGACACTGCTGAACCAATCAGGAAGTGCGGTGTGACTCGTGCATGCACAGTGGGCACCAGGCTGTGAAGCCGCAAGCTGTCACAGCTTGGTGCCCATAGTAGAGATGCCGGCGCCAGGAGAGAAGACCGTGAGGACACCGCTGGACCAATCAGGAAAAGCGGCGCAACTCGCGCATGCACAGTGGGTACCAGGCTGAGAAGCCGCAAGCTGTCACAGCCTGGTGCCCACAGTAGAGATGCCATCACCAGGAGAGAAGACCTGAGGACACCGCTGGACCAATCAGGAAAAGCGGCGCAACAACTCGCGCATGCACAGTGGGCACCAGGCTGTGAAGCCACAAGCTGTCACAGCCTGGTGCCCACAGTAGAGATGCTGTCACCAGGAGAGAAGACCGTGAGGACACCTCTGGACCAATCAGGAAAAGCGGCGTAACTCGCGCATGCACAGTGGGCACCAGGCTGTGAAGCCACAAGCTGTCACAGCCTGGTGCCCACAGTAGAGATGCCGTCGCCAGGAGAGAAGACTGTGAGGACACTGCTGAACCAATCAGGAAGTGCGGTGTGACTCGTGCATGCACAGTGGGCACCAGGCTGTGAAGCCGCAAGCTGTCACAGCTTGGTGCCCATAGTAGAGATGCCGGCGCCAGGAGAGAAGACCGTGAGGACACCGCTGGACCAATCAGGAAAAGCGGCGCAACTCGCGCATGCACAGTGGGTACCAGGCTGAGAAGCCGCAAGCTGTCACAGCCTGGTGCCCACAGTAGAGATGCCATCACCAGGAGAGAAGACCGTGAGGACACCGCTGGACCAATCAGGAAAAGCGGCGCAACTCGCGCATGCACAGTGGGCACCAGGCTGTGAAGCCACAAGCTGTCACAGCCTGGTGCCCACAGTAGAGATGCTGTCACCAGGAGAGAAGACCGTGAGGACACCTCTGGACCAATCAGGAAAAGCGGCGTAACTCGCGCATGCACAGTGGGCACCAGGCTGTGAAGCCACAAGCTGTCACAGCCTGGTGCCCACAGTAGAGATGCCGGCGCCAGGAGAGAAGACCGTGAGGACACTGCTGGACCAATCAGGAAGTGTGGCGTGACTTGCGCATGTGCAGTGGGCACCAGGCTGTGAAGCCGCAAGCTGTCACAGCCCAGTGCCTACAGTAGAGATGCCGGCGCCGTGGAGTATAGAAGGGACCACGCGGGTGAGAACATCGCTGGACCCCAGGACAGGTAATTGTGTGTTTATTAAAAGTCAGCAGACAGTTTTTGTAGCTGCTGACTTTTAATAAACACAAAAACGGCTGGATGCCTCTTTATCTGGATGTCTGTGACATGCATTCGCCCAGCGGGTGACAAATGTTTTTAATAAAGTGATTTTCTATGATTGTCCTCTCCATCTATTGGCCGCATTGTGGCATTTTCCTGACTGAGGTCATTCAGGAAAAACATTGCATTTTGCCCACTAGATGGTGCTGATGATCATAGGAAAATGAAGTTCCTTACACTACAGGTTGAGGTGAGATGTGGGTACATCATGGAACACCTTCCAGGAGAAGGCAGAGGTTTGTGGCATTCCTGCTTCAGGTAGAAGAACAGGTTCTGTCTTTGAGAAGAGAAAGCAGCTCTGGAAATCCTAATGGAAGTGAGGTTGGAGATCGTGGACCCAACCTTCAGAGAGGAAAGACCTTTGCAACCGGCAGAAGGTGGCTTCACATTAGTGGACATAGTAGGACAGGTAAAAAGAATTGTGGTCATCTCAAAATGTGACAAGGACCTGGTTCAAGGACTTTTTTTCAAGGGTGTTTCTAGGATTGTAAACAACCTCGAGAACTTTCAGGCCCCCGAAATAGAGCGGTAATAGTAGGAGGGGCTTATACTGGCATAATTAACCTCTTCCCGTCCAGCCCATGTCGATAAACGGCCAGACGGGAGTGCTGCCGATGTGGGTGGATGTTTCTAAACATCCCCTGCATCCATTGCCTGTGCGTGTTCTTTGGGAGCGCACGGCATTGCGATCAGTGCCCGCATTTTCTGGAGGAACACCGATCGTTGTACGAGACCTCTGCGTGAGGTCCCGATCATGTGATCACTGATTGGTCAGTTGAAAAACTAACGTTACCAGCGTTATCAAAACACCCTGTGTGCATGGAGCCTTAAGATGCAGCAACAGAACCTGATGCTGATAAAAAAAAAATGCACAAAGAATAAAAATACAATATGGGAACAGCAGTAATGCAGAAGTGTTGTAAAATTAACACACTGACAGCACAATACCGCACTACACTGTCTCATAACACATCACTAACTGTCAGGAATAGATTTGCCAATAGTGGTGGGACTCACCTGCCTTGTGGGCTGCAGTACCAGGGCTGGCCAGCGGGTGCTCTCAACAACCAGAGGCTCACTTTGGCAATTAGCCATCACCTGGGGCTGATTGCAGGAGGTGTATTTAAGGGATGGCCAGACCTGCAGTCAGTGCCTTGTTGTACTGTTTGCTTGGCCCTGGTTTCCTGATCCTGTTTCTGCCTGTCCTGACGCTGCCTGAACTCTGCCTGTACTGACCTCGGCTAGTCCTGACCACTCTCCCGCCTGCTCCTGGTACTCCGTTTGCTACCGACCCGGCCTGCCTGACTACTCTTGTATCGTATGTTTGTTATCTGTTGGAGGTTTGGTTCAGTTTGTTTGCACTGTGTTATGTTTAGTTTTGCACTGCGTTTGTATTGTTAGTCTCAATAAATTATTTATTTACTATATCTGAAGCCTGCGTTTCCCTGTGTCAGTCCACACACTTCTGGTCATACTCGCATCCCTGACACTAACTATCCTCGCCTATCTAACTCCACCACACACTATGCAAGGTTGTTGTGTAAGCAGCCTTATATAGTGTGGGGCGTGGACTTAGCCCCTGAACCATGATTGGCCAAAGCCACCGAAACTTTGGCCAATCGTGGCCCTTTCTTGTGAACTCAGCTGTGAATGGCCAATTGCACCTTACCTGTGATCAGGAGCAATGCTTTGACCAATCCCAATGCGGGCATTGTATTGTGGGCCGCACGGGCGAACTTCCTGCCGAACGCCCTTACCGTTCCAGTGTTCGACTCGAACATGTAGCCCATCCCTACTCCTAAATGGTACACATTTAGAAGATATTCATTTTACTTGCAGGTAAATTTATTCAAGAAGAGTTTACTACCACTGAAAGACTTATTTTGGGACTTTATATGAGTTATATGTGATATATACATTTTTTTATTATTTAATAATTTTTTTTGGGCACTGTTTTACTAGCACAATCTTTTTGTTTTATCACCTGCACCTTATGAATATAGGGTAGATTTTGCAGCTGGTATATTTATAATTATTTTTTTTCTATAATTTTATTTTCTGTGTTCACTTTATTGTGAGATATATTTTTGTGGCACCATCTATATTTATCTGTATATACCACCAAAAGACGAAAACAAAATTTTTACAGTTAAAAAGAACGTAATATAAAACCTAAAAACACTCCTGTAGGTCAAAATGACTTTCCGAAAGTAGATGTTTAGCATTCCTACAGCTCTACAGAGGAAAATGTTTATCTCTTCTACAGCTCAATTAACTAGAAATATCTTACCTATAAAATACATGAAATTTAATCATATGGTTATATCGTAGATTGTAAGCTCCCAGGATCAGGGCCCTCCTAACCCTCTTGTATTGAACTGTATGATTGCTGTATTTTCTCCCGTCATATTGTGAAGTGCTGAGCAAACTGCTGGTGCTATAGAAATCCTATATAATAATATCTCAGCTATATTCAACACTCATTTAGTATGCATCCCTCAAGGCGAGTTCTGTAAGAATGATGAAATATTCCAGGAGCATGTCAGGACCTGCATCACCTGCTAGTGGCACTGTGCTTCCCAGAGTGGAAAGTTGTATTTCCAATGTCCACCAACCGGTGTCTCCCATAAGCCAGCAGTTTCTAGTAATCAGTCTCCACCTGATGCTGGCTACTGGATGGGTATTTAATT